ACGACCTACTAACGTATAAACACATGCTATGTATGCACCGAATATGAACAGTAACTGCCGGCGTCGGCGTGCCGGCGATACCCCGAGCCTGAGTTCTATCCTGTCCAATCCTCCTTCGTAGTTTTATGGCCGATTGACCAATAGTTATTGCAGCGCTTAGGCGGCTGCCGGTTTGCCGCGCTGCACTTTGTTGTGCCAGGGCGTAAATAGACTACGAATAGAATATAGTCAAACCATAACCCCAAGTTTTCATAATAATTATCTAACGTCAACATTTCCCATAATCCATCGCTGCAGTTCTACGTATACCTAATCTGAAATGTGCTGAAAATACATTTGCTGGAAAAAGCATCCAACCCGTGTCTGGTAACGTCTTCTATTTACGTTGATAGTTTCTCGCCCGCCTCAACGCGCCATTGTTCCTTCCTATATGAAAACTAACACTCGTGTGTCTTGATTAGCGCCGTGGAGTAACTCGGTGCAGACTACCGAATGGAACTTTGCCAACTTAACGAACCGAGATGGTAATGATCTGCGCTGTGCGCGCTATACAACTTTAATGAAGTTTGCAGTCTGTGCTGTAGTCAAACGAGTGAGATGGAAGTTCTATTTCGTTGGGAATAGCCTCAAGATTCTCAAAATAGTCATTTCATTAAAGAAATCCTCTTCCTAGATCCAGCACCAAAAGGCGTTTGGGAGTTGATAAGCTCGGGGGGATGTGTGATCGTCTGAACACTGGTATAATACAGTCAATCTTTGAACTGAGATATTATAAATATTGTATATAGATATTATAAAAATAATTAAAGAAATGAATAAAGATGCTATATTTGCATCCGCATTTGTTTGACATAACTGTCTCTTGGATTAGTATAGAACACAAAAATCGTGTCCAGTAGGTTAACTTCGCCCTCGCCATGCAACGATATCATCAGTTCATATAATCGGCACAAGTTAGCCCCTTCTAGAGAAAATTTAACTACGAACCTTAACAGAGGAATTGCAAAAATCTAGACAATCAATTAGGAAGTTACTTATGTCTTGAAGTACACTTAAACACTTTTTGAATATCATGAAAAATGACAAAGTTTCGCTACCGACAAGTTTCTTTTTTTGGTGCGTCAGACTGTCTGGTGACGTCACATGACACCAGGTACCACACAAAGCGTTTCCTCCGCCGAGCGCGCTCGCGCCATTAACAAACTTTCCTCTGGTCAATATATACGATTTAAGGTAAAAATCTGAAAAAATTTACTTACAAATAGTGTATTCTACCTAGGTGAACCTAGAAGAATTAGAAGGAGGTGGTTCAGAGTGATGAACAGGGCAGGAACGATAAAATTTCTGAAATATTGTACTGATGTAAATATCGTTTTGATGTTACTAGGGATTTGCGACTGGTCAGCTTGAGCGCCAAGGATGAATTCGATACGCACAGGACATCCCATCGTCCCATGACCCAGAAGCAGAACTTATGTCATGTGACATCACAACCGCACCTCGACGCCCGAGGGGGGTCGGCTACAGCCCCTAACACATAAAATTTCATACCTTCCTTGAATTTTAAGTTATTGGAATCATTCTTCAAGATTTGTGAAAGACAGGTACCAGTTATACTATCATATTTATGCAAGTGAAACTACTATAGGAAACTTCCTAATTAGACACATCCTTTCGTTACTGCTGAGAGAGTGTTCTTCGATTTGCAAAAGATTTTATCTGTGAATGGCCTAGGTCTCTTTGTGCAAATGGCTGCCAACATGACGAAACTGTCTAGCTAAAATTGCAGCGAAAACAGAAAAACCTCTGTCTTTTTAGCTGTTCAAAATACGTTCTAACCAAAAATAAGTCTGTAGTATTTATATAAACCAGATGAGTAGTCTTAAAAATGCATGATCGCTGTCTCACCAATCTTACGGGGGGAGAGGGTGTCATCGACAAATATCGCGTAATTTTTGCACGAATTCATCAGCATACCCTATGACCTATATTGCAAGGAATACTGTATATGCGGTACCCAGTTTGCGTCCATCACACAGGTTGCAGAGCGTCGGCGTGCAAAGTTAGAATATATATTCTTTTTTTTACCAGTTCCCATTATATTTAAACAAAAATTTAATTATGCAAATAGGGTTATTTAATTCATGTAAGGAAACACTAACTAATATTACCTATTGCTAAGATAAATAAATTAGATACTTTTTCCGATTTAAGAGAAGATTAGTATTTTACGCGTATTACTCGAAGTACTAGAAAGAGCAATACACATCCACTTAACGATTACTGATCAAAATCTCAAATATTGCCTTCCAAACAAAGCGAAAAGGAGATACTGCAGGTGCATTACTAGACTTACCCGATAATTCAGTGAGAGCCAGGGATCAGGAAAGAGTCACCAGTAGTTTTGATAGAGTTTTTTAAGACGTCCGATACCATAAATCATCGTATCTTAGTTGCTAAAAGTGAAAGATCTATCTATAAGGGTGAGCATTGATATGATTCCGTCTCCAAAATGTCTCATTTCCTCCGGAGTACCACAGGGGCCTGTACTGGGGCCACTATCATTCATTTTATACAGGGTGGCGCAGAGGAAACGCACGTTTTCTGAGTGAATAGTATTTCGCAAAGAGAAGTAGGTTGACCTTGCCTCACCGCCAGCAGAGAACACGGGCAATGCAGTTTTAGCCATGACATCACGCAACAATGATCCTGTAGCTACCGTGCAACGTTTATTCCCTCGCCAGTTCAATGTTGAACGCCAAGCGTCAATTTCAGATCGAAATACGATACTCCGATGCATTTCGAACTACTGGATGTGTAATGAAGAGGAAGGCACCTGGCGTTCGCCGTACAGTTCGAACAGGCAATATCGAAGTAATGAGAAGAGCGGTCCTTGATAGTCCTCAACGGTCCACTAGGCGACAAGCTCCAGCTCTGCGTATGTCCCGTCGATCGTTACAACGCATTGTGCACGGTTTACAATTTCATCCCCATATGATAATGATTGTGCAAGAGTTAACCGAAAGTGATTTTGAACAGCGTAGACAGTTTTGTGCGAGAATACTGACCATTTTTACTGATGACCCTGACGTCGCCATAATGATGAGTGACGAAGCGCACTTCCATCTAACGGGATATGTAAACAAGCAGAACTGTAGGTATTGGGGGGCCGAAAATCCACGAGAGCGACACCAACGACCTTTGCATAGTGAAAAATTGTGTGGTGCGGATTACGTAAATTAGGTATCATTGATCCTTACTTTTTTGAGGAGGAAGAAAGAGCAGTAACGTTATGTTCACATGTTACAAAATTTTCTGATACTCAAACTTCAACGGCAACAAGTAAATATGCGAGAACTGTACTTCCAACAAGACGCTGCCACAGCTCACACAGCTAGAGCATCAATGGAATGTGTTCGACAAATGTTTCTCGTTTCGGCGATGTTCGTTGGCCTTCACGCTCCCCAGATTTGTCTGCATGTGACTTCTTGTTGTGGGGTTACCTTAAGGCTAAAGTGTACCCTCACAAACCACGCTCATTACAGGAACTGAAAATGGCTATTCGTCAAGAACTCGTAAGAACACCACAAGAAATGACCCTACGTGTTACTGCACAACTTTCAAGAGCGGTTGGAGATGTGCGAGCGCGAAGAAGGGCGACACTTGAGTGACATAATTTACCATAATTAATTTAAAAGTGTACTATTATTACTTTATTTAGCTGTTGTTGAAATAAAATTATCTTAAACATAAAAATTGTTGTCCTTACGTGAAAACTATGCGCTTCTTCTGCGCCATCCTATCCTGTATATATCGGATCTACATGCCGCTGTTAAACACGGCAGTGTTCAATTTTTCACCGATGATTTTCAAATGTATAATCATTGCCAGTGTTCCAATATCTAAACGGCTGTTTATGAGGTCAGTACATATGCAAATAATTATAATCTCCAGTTGAGCTCTTCAAGAGTTATTTTTTCACGAAAACATTGGAAGTGATGCGAAAAGAAATTCTAACATAAATTTAAACGGTAATTTTATTGTACTGCATTCATATGACTAATGAAAGGCTCAAATTCATACTACATGTGAATCATATCAGCAAGAATTATTGTTTTTCCATTCTACGGCAACATTACCTAAATTTCTTGACTATCAAACCAAAAAAATGTTGTGCGAATCTCTGATAATGTCCAAACTTACTTATTGTGATATAATGTATGTTCCATAAACTCTACCTTTCTCATGCGACTCCAAGAAATTATGAATTAGAGAGAGATGGCTGACAGTAAAAGAACTACATGAGTTAGGCATTTATACCCAGAAGCTTTTACTCACAGCCATTCCTCCATTCTTGAATGATAAAATGATACCTAGGTTATGTTCACACAAGAGATATTTTTTGCATGAGACTCTCACAATGGCTATCCACAAGACAGCCTTGTTTCGTAAATCCTTCACATAGAACGCAGTTTTTCTCTATAACGAGCTTCCACGAACTATAAAATTCATAAATTATGAAAAATGTAGAAAATACATTAAACTATTTATTTCGGATAAATACACTTAAATTAGTTTTTTCAATCATTTTTTCGATGTAAAATTTAATTCTTCAAACTGCAAAACTATTATATTGATGTTATATAGATTTTTTGAAATTAGAAATGTTGAAAAATCTCTGGTGCGGGCAGGGGTTAAGCTAAACCTCACATCTCACCAGAATTTGGAACATCATCAAAAACGACTGCCCCCTTAAATCAAACTAAACCCTTATCACAGTCTCAACAAAACCTTTGTGCACACCCCAGAAAAACCCATTTCTGCCAATACCGTCGCACCAGCTTTACCAAAGAAAACAGAATGTAATTTCGGTCTGTATTCCCGGCCAAGAATTATCCCTCAGGATATCTGCCCGCCCGGTTCGAAATGAAACACATTTCAACCGCACCTTGTCCCTAAAACCTAAGCCCATCGGCTTTCGCTTTCACCGCCATTTACGGCACCAGATTTTCTATATGACATTCTGTGTTATTTTTACAGGAGAATATCCAGAGATCCAGGAAAATACAGGATGGCGGGAGCGAAGACAGTTTCACCCAACAACACAAGGTACAGAGGACGTCAGGAAGATGATATTCAGAACATCGTTTATATAAGAGTGGGTTTTTAGTGCGCGCTCCATCCGTTATTTTATTTCATTATTTTTTATTTTATACATAATTGCCCAACAGAACTATTCCAATTAGCGGACGATATAATGGTAACTTTACTTATAATACATACATACAATGTACACATAAAACTAACTTAAACACAGAATTAGCTATTATAATAGTACCTGAAATTCGACAAGATCTTACTGATACAACCAAAATTAATGTCAGAACTGTCTGCTATGGAATTATAATTGTTGCATATACATAGAATGTAGCGGATAATAAAATAATACATTGGTCCGGAAGGTACTGCAGTAGAAAGTTATAGTTCCTCTCGTATTTACGTAATTCTCGTAATATAGAAATTTCTGGTGCATCCACTCTGCCGTGCAAGAGCTTATGAAGGAATGACAGGCCAGCAGCAGAACGTCTTAACTGTAGAGACTCTAGTTCAAAACGACACAGCAGAACAAATTGAGAGACCCCACTTTCTGGATCGATTTTATAAACACAGTATTTAAGAAATTTTCTTTGTACATTTTCTAAGATGTTCATATAACACGCATAGAAAGGGTTCCATATCAAAGAAGCATACTCAAGTTTTGGTCGCACCAGTGAGACAAAAAGAGCTTTTAGTGTCGCTTCGTTGGAAAAAGGTCGGCAGTTACGCATTATGAAACCCAGACTCCGTGTCGCTTCGGAAGTGACGCGTGCTACATGGACAGAAAGGTCCAATCTACAGGAAAATATCACGCCAAGATCTTTAGTCTCTGTTGTTCTCTCCAAAACCGCATTATTTATGGAGTAATCAAACATTTTTAAAGAATATCGAATTTTTTTTCAAAATCAAAATAAAGTTCATTTAAAGCAACATATTTTCTTGGGAGATGTCAATATAAATATTTTAGACGATGATCCCATCACAAATGAATACTTGAATATCCTATCAAGTAACGGATTTCTGTCCTATATAAACCTACCTACGAGGTCCATCAGTGGCACATGTATAGATCACTGCTTTGTGAAAGACCTATCCAACAAAATTATTTGTATACCAATAATCCTAGAAAGCGATATTACTGACCACTTCTCCACTATTTTACTGATATCTTCAAATGAAAAACATTCTAACATCCCTACCGTTAATAACAACCAGGAAAATTACAAATTTTTTGTCGACAATTCAAAACTGTAAAATGTCAAACAAGAATCCTGGGAACAATTATACTCTATAAATAATATAGACAAAGCAACGGGACTGTTCATAGAGAAAATAAAAAAACTAATAGATATTAGTACCAATAAAGTAATAATTAGTCACAAAGAGAAAAGCAGAAATGCCTGGATTACCAAAGGATTAATAACATCGGCAATAGAAAAAGAAAGACTATATAATGTAATGAAACTAACGCCAACTACAGAGAATACCGACTGGTACAACCAATATAAAAATAAATTTATAGAGCTTGTAAGGCAAACCAAACGAAAACATTACCTAAATAAATTGAATAATAACTTAAATGATCCTAAGCGGCTTTGGACAACTATTGATGAGATTACTGGGAAAACAAAATTAAAGAGTGTGTCACTGAGTTAAATACAACATCGGGAACAGTATTAAAAAATACTCAACAGATATGCGATGAATTTGTACAATTCTTTACTGACATAGGCGAAAATTTAGCAAGTAATATACAAGCAAATGTACAAAATACTCAGCCTCCAAAAAGAACTTTGAACTCATTTATTTTGGATAAAGTCGAGCAATGTGAAGTATACACCACTGTTATGTCCTTAAAAAATCGGAAAAGTCCTGGATTCGATGGTATTAAAAGCGAGCATTTGAAAATTATAGCCGAGGACATAACAGAAGCACTCACTTACCTAATCAACAAATGCTTTGAATCTGGCAGATATCCCTCAATTTTAAAAAAAGGTAGTATAATACCGATACATAAATCAGGAACAAAAACAGATGTTAACATCTATAGACCAATATAGCAAAGGTTTTTGAAAAAGTTTTATCTGCTAGAATGATTCGATACATCACAAAATTCAAAATTTTAAGTGAAAATCAATATGGATTTACAGAAGGGAAGGCTACATCGGACGCAATAACTAAAATTGTAAATCAAATACAGCAAATTATTGATAACAGAATCCCTTCAATCTGCGTTTTTGTTGATTTAAAGAAAGCTTTCGACACAGTGAATCACAAATTATTATTAGAAGCATTGGAGAGAATTGGTTTCAGAGGAAACGCGTACTCACTGATCGAAAATTATTTGTCAAATCGCCCACAATCTGTGCAGATATCAGGATCATTTAGTAAAGAAATGTATATTAAGTGTGGTGTCCCACAAGGAACTGTCTTAGGTCCGCTGTTATTCAATATATATTTAAATGATATTTTCCAAATTAATTGTGTTGGCAAAATAACTAGTTTTGCAGATGATACTGCAATATTATATGAAGGTACTGACTGGTCTGATCTGAAAAATGTAATTGAAAATGATTTTATCAAAATTATTCGGTGGTTTAACAGTAGAAAATTAAGCATTAACTACTCTAAAACACATTTTTTACCATTTGGATCTTATGCTAGACATCTGCCCAATTACACAAATTTCTCGTTCAACATTAATGTTAAAAAAATGCAAATTAATAGAGTGCCCAACATAAAATACCTTGGAGTAGTCTTGGATCCTCACTACGATGGGACATCCATGTCAATTATATTTTAAAGAAAGTTAGATTTGTATCCTACAAAATTAAATACCTTGGGAATATATTGACAGAAAAATATCTACGAACATTATATCATGCACTGATTGAGCCTCATCTCACATATGGTATATTAGCATGGGGAGCTGCATGTTCCTCACATATCTATAATTTAGAGGTTTTTCAAAAAAGTATTCTAAAAATGATATTTAAAAAACCGAAACTTTATCCCACTGAAAAATTATACGCAGATGTTCGAATGTATGATATAAGACAGCTTTATTTCTTACATAGTATCACTCACTACCATAAATTTGTAAACACCGACCAAAAAATTAAACATAATCATTATACCAGATACAAAATGCGTGGCACAGTAGTTCCTCAACCGCATAAATCTATAATGCAGCGATCATATCTCTATTTAGCGCCTAAATTTTATGAAATTATACCTAAAGACTTAAAAGATTTACGTTTCGGAAATTGTTTCAAAAGAAATTTGAAAAAGTGGCTACATTCTATATCTAGGACTGAAATTCATAAACTCATAAATACGAACATCAACTAAATACATAATCTACTGTTGCTAATTTTTGTCCTTTTTTGTCATTTGCATTCTACAGTTTCAACTTAAATTATTGGTCCATGTACAGGCGATGCCTTCTATTGGGCTTGTTTTGATTTTATATTTATTTACTCATATTGTTTGTTATCTTTGTACATTGAGTGAATAAATATTATTATTATTATTATTATTATTATTATTATTATAATCGGGTTCATTTTACGATAATATGAACATTTTGAAAGATGTCTCTAAAAAGTATACCGTGTGTTTGGGTTCTCGAAAACGGTAAGAGATACAAAGTCGCTTAAATGGGCGCAAAGTTGCTTATTTAGGATGTTGTGATTGCCCGCAGTTGGTAGACAGTCTTTGACTGTCGAACGCGGAGGTACCACCCGGCGGATTTCGTAGGTGGGGCCAGAATGTGTGCATGTGTTCCCTCGCTAGAGTCCGTTTGGCGCCCCCTCCTTTCCCCTGGATCCACCTATAGTCCCACGATACCCATGAATGTTTAGGTCTTAGGCCTTCGTGGTAGTTGCAGCATAAAAAAAACCTAACAAAATGCCGCTTAGAAAGTTTCGAAATTGAAAGTAGGTACCCCAGAGAATGAAAAAAACGATTTTTCCCAAAATCGTTTTAATTTTATCCTGGCTTTATTTGTAGTGAGATTTTAAACCAAATTGCACATAACCATTGCCACTTGTTCTCCTCTACAAGATGATATAATTGGAATTTCAATATGACGTTTCCTCTCTTGCCCTCCAGCTACAACTTAATTTTCACTTGAGGACATTGGATTTTTGCACAAGCAAATGAAGTTTTTAATTCTGATTTCAAAAATGTATAATATGTCATATATTGACGTTGCCAAACCTTGTTTTTTTTTCGAAAAAACAGAATTTCCTAGGTAGGCCTTTAAGTTATCATTATTGTTTCATACACCAGATTTATCGCCAAATCATTTTATTTTTTCCTGGCTTTATTTGGGTTGGGAGTTCAAAATAAGTTGCATGCTGCTATTGCCACCTTTTCTCCTCTACAAAATGGCGTAGTGAAATTTTCAATTCGAGGTATATTCTTTCTATACTTTCCGCACCATATTCATTTCTTCATACAGACACTATATTGGAATTTTATACATTTAAATGGAGTTTTCAATCCCACATTCAGTGATGTATTTCCTTAGTTGGCTATGAATCTTTTTAACGAAAATTATGTGGAACTAAAAAGGTATGGTCAATTTATGCGCAAAGACCGAGAAACAACGGACGTTTTTCATTTTGTGTACAGGTTTCACCAATCAGAGTATTTCCGGAGAGAGATAGGAAAAATTTGATCTTGCCCAAAATTGATTTTATTGTCCTGACTATTTGAGGTGGGATTTCGAAATAAATTGTACACTGACTTTGCCACTTTTTCTCCTCTACAAGATGGCATAATCAGAATTCCAATTTGACGTTTCGTCACTTGCCAACATTATTTTTGGATTTTTGCACAGGCGAATGGAGTTTTAATCCTGATATCGGGACAATTTTGTTTCTTTCATCTATGTCCCTAAATACGCAGAATCGCGAAACTTTTTAAATGATATTTCCTTTGTTCCTCAATGTGCGAGAGTCGAGTTTGGAACACCCGGTATACCAAATTATGAATCAATTTGAACACCCTGTATTCAGGTAAAATTTTAAATCCAAGTTTATATCTAAGCTTATAAGAAATTTATCCTCTAACATACTCCTCAGAAATGTCATTGATTTTTAAAACCACATTTTGTTTGAACATTTTTCCCGTTTATCGCTAGTCAAATCAATGATATTAAAGAAGTCTTCACAATAATGAAAAGAAAAAACACATGCACAAAAATGCTTTCTTTTCAAAATCAATCAAAAATATTTCCAGCGATCTCCACAATAATAATTCAAGCTGGGCCACTGTAGTAATTGGTCACTGCGGTAGCGCTGAGGGGAGTTTGTTAAGTAATACCGTACACAATAATGGAACGCAGATTGACAGATGAAATTTTAGTCTGGAATACTGTGTAGATTTATTTTTAAAACGCTTAAGTTATTTCAAAGGCATGTAATGACGCTTGATAGACTACTCATTTCTAACCACGCTTTCTATGACCATTTTTTTTTATAAGCAACGCTAGCTCATTTATTGTGAAAAAATATATGATCTGCCAATTTTCCGCACTATTCGATAACCAAATAAAGTAAACAAACAATGAAGCATAATAATGACAAGTGACAATACTCTTATTCCCAAGGTTCTGAGCACGGGAATATAAATGCACTTTTGACGTTCCAGAGTGATTACTTTGAGTTCTGCTACCGTTTCCTTGATGCCGCTAGTATTTTTTTGGATCGCCTGAATATAGCATATGGTTGGCTAAAAATACTCCCACGGCCGGCCTCTCGTCGATTTAGCGCCAGCTTTAGTATATTTTACCACTGCTCTTAAAATTCAAGTTTCTAGATCAGAACAAATTGCTGCAAAATAGCATGCAGATTACCCTGTATATGCGAAAGAAAATAGAGATCAAGTAGCAGCTATTTGGCGCGAAATCTCATTCGCAAGACGTTTACAGAAGGTATTTCATTTACTTTCCCGAGGCGAAATATTTCAATTTCTTGCTGGATTTTATTTCGGACGTCTTGTCAGCATTTTGTCGCCGAACTTAGTTTACTCTACAAAATTGAATTGGAAGGATACACATACTGAGAAATGTGAAAATACTTTCTGGTATATGTACGCGACAGAAAGCTAGTAATACGCGGTCACATTTTGAAAGTAAATAATCTTGGTATGAGCTTCGGGGTTATACTTTTTCCAATCTATCTGAGTGCCAGTCGGTTGCTTTTATTCGTTTTGTACGTTCGGAAAATAAGAAAATGTATCCATGTAGAAACACATACATATAATCAGTTGAATATGATCTGCCGATTCTACACTGTTATCGGTTTAACTTTCTAGATACCTCACAGGCAAAAACGCTAATTGTGAAATAATGTTAATGACCGGGCAATAACGCGAATACTTCTTGAGAATGGGCAATGTTGATACTTCACTAGAACGTCTTGGCCCAGCCAATAACGATCGTGGTATTTCTAAGATCTAAACCCTCGATAAATAAAGCCCGTTACAAATTACATGGCAAAGGTTATAATTTATTCGTTGGCCTTCATTTGTCATTCTTTTATGCAACATTTGAGATACCTCAAAAACGGTTAGATTTAGGTGCTGGATGTCGTACGTGAAATGTAATTTTGAGAATATAGCGTAAAAACTGGAAAATGTACATGGTGTTCTATCTAAAATGAGTTGATATCAACACGGACTACCACCATTTCAAAAACATTTTAAAACAGACGCATTTACTGGCAGCTCAATTTTTTTGTGGAAAAACGCTCAGACCCGTCGATTTTGTTTTCGAGGGGGACACAAGTTTGGCAAAAAATCACGTTAACACGTGCAGCTGCCTGGGCGGGGGTGATACCTTATTTTAAAGGTCTTTCAATTTCCTTTATAATGATGTAAAATACATGAGCTTCAGTTCAGTAGTTTTGAAGATTTATTGATTTAAAGCTTAAAGTAGACTTTAATAGGTACATCAGATTAATTTGTACTACTTTCAGAAGAAATTTGACTAAAAGAATTTACATAATAAGTAAATGCTTTTCTTCACTACGCCCATGGTTTGTTTAACATTTTGTTGTTGAAAATAGCTATTGGAGCGTTTTTTGTGGCAAAAAAGGTATTTCGTGAAGAAATTTCGCAAAACTGGGTCAGTCGCCAATAAAAGACGCAACATTAAAAATCCCATAAGGAACGAAGCAATAGAAGTGGGGGTTTTAGGGAAAGTTTATGTAGATCCTACGTTAAGTACCCGCAAATTGGAGACTGTGTGTGGTGTTAGTCGACGTACTGTCCAACGGATTCTAAAGTTTTCATCCGTATAAAATTCACCTGGTACAATAACTTAATGAAAACTGTTTTGATCGGCTATTACAATTTTGTGAAGATATGAGTGAACGAATTATAAACGATGAACATTTTCTATTCAACACTTGCTTTTCCGACGAATGTGCCTTTTTCTTAAATGGAGTAGTAAATCGTCATAACTGCCGATATTGGTCCGATTCTAATCCCAGAATTTATCATGATGTTCATACACAGCAGCCACAAAAATTAAATGTTTTGGCTGGTACTTTTGGCGATCATTGAGTGGGTCCTTTTTTCCTACCTGGAAATTTGACCGGTGAAATGTATTTGGAATTACTGGAAGACGCCATCGATCTTGCAATAACAGCCATAATTGAAAATCAGAATGATCGACGGTACATTGCGAATAGGTTGATGTTCCAACAGGATGGTGCCCCACCACATTACGCATCACGTGTTCGACAATACTTAGATCAGACGTTTAAAGATCGATGGATTGGTAGAAGAGGTGCCATTGAATGGCCCCCAAGATCGCCAGATTTATTACCTTTGGATTTCCTTATGTGGGGTCATTTAAAAAGCAAAATCTATGCTACTCAGCCAACATCATTAGAAGACCTGCGACAAAGAATTGTGAATGAGTGCCTTCAAATTACTCCTCAAATACTGCAAAATGTGCGGCAACGTTTTGAGCAAAATCTTTAGTATTGCATGGAGAGTCATGGTGGTCATTTTCAACATTTACTTGCCTAACGGGTCAGTTCATTCTTCATTTTTAAATTACTTTGCTGCCAAATGTATTGATCTCCACTAACGATGATGTATTAGTTTTATTTAAGCTTTAAATCAATAAATCTTCAAAACTACTGAACTGAAGTATATTAATTTTATATCATTATAAAGGGAATTGAAAGACCTTTAACATAAGGTATCACTCGACCCCCCTTTCCATTTAAGATTTTGGGGGTGGTATCACCCCCGCTAAGGGGGCTGCACGTGCTAAAGTGATTTTTTGCCAAACTTGTGCCCCCCTCGAAAACAAAATCGACGGGTCTGAGCGTTTTTCAAAAAAAAACTGAGCTGCCAGTAAATGCGTCTGTTTCGTTTTCGATGCGCCATCCTGTATATTTTCTGTCTTGCGTCAACTTTTTGGGTAATCGCTCGCTGCCCAGTACCCTGTATGTCGACAGATTTGAACATAATTTTTATCTATGTTCCGAGACGTGCACGTACTGTGACGCAGAGTAAACTATATTCTTTTAGACACCTGTGCTCTGTTGAAGGAGCGATAAATTAACGTACTGCATCTGAAGATACCCAATCAAAATAGGAATCAGACTGGCCAAAAAGGGACTGAAGATCCTAGCGCCATCTGTGATAGAGTAGGGGAACAAGGCAATAAGTCTGCAAACTAGATTTCTAAATTCATTTTTGATCTTTCAGATGCATTTTTAGACGCTGACATACAGTATAGTTGGATGAATCTTTTATTTAAGAAATTGGTTACCTCTGAATGATTAAAATGCGTTTCATTGTCTATTAAGCGGCCCTATAAAAGATATATTGATAGGGTATTATAAGCTTTCATTAGTGCAATACAGCTTGAGTAGGCCAAACTTTTGACCTGATTACAAGCAATTGGTCACGTATGCCAGTATGTCATGATTCATGGTCCTCTTACTTTCCACTCAGGAAAATTCAGGGAACTACTATATACAATAATTTCAATAGGCCATTTTAATAACTTTCTTGATAATACGGTGAGGTCATGCAACTCAAGTCACGAATGGCTTACATGAAGTTGCTGGTGTGCATGAAACTAAAGGTATCTATTACCAGCAATGAAAATAGGTTGATATGCGAGAACCTTTTCCGATAATTTATTATAAAAGAAAGCTTAACGCATAGATATTAATTTTTTCTAGAGCCGTATTTTTTACACCGAAGGAGCCGCGCAGGCAGAAACCCAAACGCCAGGGCACCGTGGCTGCTATAAGGATCCCAAGGAAACGTTCGTAATCCGATTTTTGAACTGCCTAAGGTTAGTAAAATTGGGAATAGCCTCCTCGACACCCTTGGGACAATGTAGCGGTCGTGTCGGCCTGTTCTGGAAGTACGGAGTTCGTCACGGTTAGGATGTGAGGCGTGTATGTCTAGCGCGCGGCGGCATCATGGACGAGAGCTCTGAGGAGCAAAACCCATTGCCAAAACGGTAGAAGAGATCGCCTACGGCCCGCCGGTGAAAAGGGGTCCCGAGTCATCGATCAATCGGGCAGCCCTTATTTGGACAGCATCGAGCATGGATAATGTAGTCGGGGCGGCAGCACCAAAAACGTGTGAGCAATACTCGAGGTTAGGTCTCCTCTGGGCTTTGTATAGAATGGGGAGGGCATGTGGAGAACAGTAGGTACTTCTTATACCTCAACAAATAGCCAGCAGCTGACGTGTTTTGGAAGCATCAAATTGTACAAGATTGTTGCGTCCCCAAGCAGTGATAACCCCAGGTCTCTCGCCAGAAAGGAAGTCGCTGCTAGTCTTCTTTTCTCCAGCTCATCGGCAGAGACAGATCCCTAGGGAACACTGGCGTTGACGTTGTGGGATGAAGAGGAGAACCCGTCAATTACGACGGATATCTTGTGATATCAAGAGCAACCACATGAGTCTTACCATAAGACCGGATGAGTTTACTCCTCAATTGCGTGACGTAAGCTAAATGCCACATCACATTTTTTCACAAAAGCTGAAGGTATTGGAAGCTTTTGTGGCTTTCCTATGCCTTTAGATTTATATATACACCTTAGGAAAAACCATTGTTATACATGGGAAATCATTTCTTGGCAACAGCGCATCGGCTCGTCTACTTTCATCGCTATTCGTAGATAATTCCTACCGTTAACCGCAGACCTGTATCACGAATGAGAATAATAGGCAGATACGCTGTGTTGCCAATTTGAGTTGAGCTTCCCGAATTGTGGGGAATTAGAGTTAAGTGTTGATTCATTCAAGCTTTTAATCAGCATGGCCTAGACGTTAGAACTTCATAAAGATAACATTGAAGCTGAATGCTGCTGGAGTATAGTGTTTCGAATATTCAAAGCGGAGCGGGACACTATACTCGTTCAATGGGTCATCAAGCCACAGTCTTTTCAACAAAGAAATTATTTTACGAAAATGCGTTATATTTTTACGATTTTGTCGTCACCAAATCTCTGTTTCTCAAAATGCACGTCTATTGTAGAATTTTCAGCAAACTAAGCAAGAAACGTGATCTAGTATTTACTCAACATTACGGATTTCTCGAAATATATTAAAAAATGTGACCTAGATACCTAACTGCCCCAAGCTCTTTAAATATAACACCTTAAACCAGGGTTACCAGGTGCTCAGTCACGTTGATTGTCATGTTGTACTGCGCAAGTCAGCAAACAATCTGGCGTAATAGACGTTAGGAATGATTAGGTATTGCCAGATTCCTGAATACCGGGCACCATAGTAACCGTTATAGTTGTCCTTCAAAGTTGTCAAATCGCCCCTATGGCGCAAATTCGCCACACCAGGCAACTGTGCTATAAACAAACCCTGTTTATCACTACTATTTGATAGTCATATGGTAGTTGTAGCCCTATCTAGCGGTCCATGATTTCTCTCAATACTGTTGTATCTCTACTGGCAACAAGAATAGGAATTACAAAATCATTTATACAACAATATACAAACATGAAAAATATGATTTGAACCATGAAACATTAATACAATTTTAATAGTCTGAACTTTTTTCATTTTTGGAATACTCTTATGTGGAATCCGCAGCTATTTTTCCCGAAATTTAGGTAGACTTAGATTTCTTAGAAATATGACATACTGGTATCGGCATCTCTGCGAATGGGAGAAACAAATCGCATTTGTTGAGCGCATCCGTCTAAGCGGTAGGCGCCAGCGCCCGTTCTGCCATCTCTCTCTTTTATCACTCTTCTACTTTACCCCGTTGTCCGTCATATTCCGAGGCTGCCAGATAGGATCCTACAATCGAGTGTCTTTCACGCACCTACATACTTTTGTATATTTCCATCTCTCTTCCTCATCATAATGTATAATAATGTTTTTTTCCCAAGGTGTATAACATCAAAAATGGAAACAAATTTCTTATAGTACTCACCGTCAGGCTCTAAGAAGACCCCAATCCAGGACCTGCACTGGCATCTGCAAGTGCCCAAAAGACGTTCAACATACCCGAGCAAACCATGGTGAATAAATGAATTAAAATCTGCTACCTACCAAATGAAACTGTGTCGGGACGGCGATATCGTGTTCGCTGAATTTAATTTCATCTCAAGTGAATAAGTTAATATTGAGGAAATAAAATAGCATTGTGTACTTTTTTATCTGTGCTATGCAATTAACAATTTATGACCGTAGTTGTTTTGTTTTCGTTGCCATTCGATTGTTCTTCGTTAAATTCGTTAAGCAGAGTAAGTCGCGTGGGATGATGTTACGATTAGAATGCTCGATTTTTTCTAAGCAGCCTTGGTCCACATATCAGTATAAATACAATCGTGCTGTTTGAAGGACATAAAAATATCGAATAATAGCCTTTAATCAATTCTGCATAGGAATTTTGATAGTAGGTAAATAATAAATAAATCTAGGAAGACTGGCATGAACGGAAAAGTATACAGGGTGTTCCTTAATGATATGCGAATATTTACGGGTGTGAATCTACATGAAAAATTAGTGTTAATTTGCTTTATAAACTATGGTCCCAGAATGTATCGTTACAAAAAATCGTTGAAGTTTTAGGAAAAAAATGAAAATTAATATTTTCAGAACCGCTTCAGATATTACACTAATATTTAGTAGTTAGTGAAAGTTAATAAAGTTGCATATTTTTCAATGCAGATAGTCGAACATCTGAAGGTAGACCGCTAAGTCTGAGAACACCTGAACTTGAGGACTTGAGGAAGCAGTGCTGCACGAAGTCGAAGAATATCCTGAAACGAGTACGAGGAAGAAGGCACACTTTAATATTAGTACAGGCATTACCTCCCATTGATTTTCCAAGGCGTGTGACCTTTTGTCAGTGGTATCTTCATAAAATTACACAAAATCCGCAGTTTGAATCAATGATTCTGTTCACGGACGAAGTTAATTTTTCCCGAAATGCCATTCACAATTTCCACAAAAATCATTTGTGTGCAGAAGAAAATCCCTATGCCGCAACCGAAACCCATTTCCAATTTTCTTCAATAACAGTTGCATTTGCTGCTTGATGATGTTCCGTTAGTAATAAGAAACAATATGTGGTACATGCATGATGGTGCAGCAGCGCATTTCAGTGTAATTATTTACAAACTATTTATCCAAATCGTTGGATTGGCCGCGGTGGGCCCCAAGAATGGTCACCAAGGTCCCCAGACCTCAACAGTTTAGATTTCTTTTTGTGGGGATATCTTAAGACACTAGTGTACACAAGTCCCATTAATACTGTAGAGGAATTAAGAGAAAGAATAGTTGCAGCTTGTGATAGAATGAAAAACACTCCAGGGATATTTCAACGAGTGCGCAATTCCATGAGAAGGAGGGCGGAACCATGCATACTAAGAGAAGGGGGCCATTTTCAACAATTTTTATAATCGTTTCGTTGGTTTTAATGTAATGTTTATGTTGTCAGTAGTTCATTACCCCTAATGTGTTCAATTTTTTTAATTGTTAATAATAATTATGGAAGTTAGACAATAGAACGGTTTTTATTTTTTTACTCAAAAATGGCGCATCGAAGGAAAACAATTCTAAGGAGATCATTTGTTATAAATTGAACGGGGAATTCAAAAATAATTTTTATTTGGCAAAAAACCGTTGGCATACCATTTTTTTCTAAAAAAATATCGAAGTCAATACCCGTACGCACGCCATTGTAAAGCTAAACATTACTTTCGCATTGGAAAATATGCAATTTTATTAACTTTCACTACGTAAAAAATATCAGTGCAATATCTGAAGCGGTTCTGAAAATATTAATATTTTCTCTAAAACTTCAACACTCTGAGTTTTTGTAAGGAAACATTTTTGAACCATAGTTTATATAACAAATAACATTAATTTTTCATGTAGATTCACACTCTCAAATATTCGCATATCATTAAGGAACACCCTGTATATTTCTCTCTTAGCAAAACGTGAAGGCAAATTTTTCACCTTTTTTTACCCTCCTAGTTGGGGTAGTTCTGTACACATTGGATATTTTTTGAGTCCAATGACTTCAGTATAATATGTATTAATTATCATAGAATAGTTTCTTATTGATCCTTCAATTTTCATGACTGCTATATTATTCGAAAGCGGGAGATTAGTTTAATATACGGAAAGTGTTCTAGATTTCCCCACACTTTTCGGGTTTCCAATAAGTATTTTTGAATACTTCTAAGTAAATAGTATTCACTGAGATGTGTTCTTTTCGAGGAATCCGAAAACGACTATTTTCAACATTGTCCTTTGTATAAAATATTCCAATCAGTCTATCATTTTTATATTTTTTCTTGCTCTTATTAAATATGCTTTGGAACAAGTACTTCAGAAAGCATTTCGTAGTACCAGTGTCAACTTTAAGAGTGGCTTAACGTTTCATATGTATCGTGTAGTATTTATTTTTCATAAATAGACAAATCACGGACGACTCACAAAAAGATCCGTTACCTTCAATCACCCTCAGATCAGTAGTTTGAAATGCATCCTTTGGGACGTTCATATTGTCTACACATTTCAAACAACAAAATTAGCATAGCACAAGGGACGACATTTCCTAGTAATTAATCCAAATTCATGTTGAATATGATAAGCATTGTTATAAATTCTGGTATAACAAACACAAAATGCTGCCAGCAAATTGTGAATTCAAGGAAGTACGATACCAACAAAAACATGGTGTAGATAAAGCCAAATTTCACCAACCATAACAAGGTCATGACAAATAAAAAACAATCCGAGTCATTGAAATTTAAACGTTTAAAAATAGTTCTAAAGCCAAAAATGATCTATATAGCATATAGCATAATACAATCTGATGATATCTGTAAGTAGAGTTCGAACGCTCTAAGAATATGACCGCTACGTCATCGTGGGCGGGTCCGCTCATCACGAGGTCGTCGACAGAGCGCAGTGGCGTTCTATTTTATTTGAAGTATAAAATAAAGTGAATAGGTTGTGTAGACATTGATCATTAATTGATTTTTGTATTATTATATTCATTTAGTATGCGCATTAAGTTGTTCGGAAGCAAATTTGAATTAGAAGAGGGAGCAAACTAAAGACGGTTATAATTCAAATTATATATTATCATTAAAAAATCTAATCACTATCAGATGATAGTGTGTTTATCTCCAAATCTTCATCTGAGTCGCTTTCGTCACTATCTTCTGATGATGACCCTGTGTTCACAGTGAATTCATACTTATCCATTTGATCGTCGAGAAGACGTTCTTTTTCCATTTGTGCTTACTCATATTTTTTCACGTGGTTACAAATTTTCTTCCACTCATCTGCTCCAATTTCTTCAAACCTGCTACGGGTTAGATGCTCCACATCAGACAACCTAAATGTCACATTTCGTGGAGCAATACAGTTTTTTACGAGAGCCCAAATCTTCTCGATTGGGTTTAGCTCCGGATGATATGGAGGCAGTCGTGCTGTTCCATTAAGGCATCTAGCTTGTATTTGACTGGAAATCTTCTTTTATTTTCCTGTATTTTTTTATATAGTTCGGCCTTAGTCAATGAGTTTTCACTAGGAATTTGATGCTTTTCTAGCCAGTCAATCATCTCTGATTTCAGGCTAGAAGAGGTTACATTTTTTTCTTCCAGGACATTGTGATAAGAAGCGTTGTCAACTACAAGCACAGAATTTTCAGGCAAATTTGGGATCAATTGGCTTTCTACCCATTTCATGAAGTTCAAATGATTCATGTCGTTGTGGTAGTCCCCAGATTTTGAGCCTGAAAATAAAATACATAAATATATTCCAGTAAATGTAAAAATATATTGGAAATATTTTACATCATTGTAACACAAATAATACCTGATTTAAATATCAACAAGGCGTTAGAAATAAAGCCGAATTCTCCGCCAGCATGCACAATAATCATTCGTTGTCCTTTTGATGAAGGCGTTTTTAGTTCCTTGTCATAATTGTCATCTGACCATCCTTTTTTTGGGGTATGACTAGAATGTATATATGTTTCATCCGTATAAATTATGTTCCTGTTCTCAGCTCTATATTTCATAATTTGCTTGAGATATTCGATTCGTTTCAAGCGAATTTCATATTTTTCCATGAGAGCTTTTTTATTATCAGTAGTTCTTTTCCATCTGTGGATATAAATTATATTTATAGCGTTGTAAATCGAAAACCTTATAGTGTGTATGAATACTGACCTAAAGCCCATTTGTTTCAAAAGCTTGTTCAAAGTCGTTATTTTATCCTCAAAATTGAGTTGTTGATCTTGCATTTTTTGGTAAATACCTAAAAAATCTTAAAATGAAATATGACTAGATGCTACGGTTACAATTTAAAAACTTACATTTCAGCGAAGGTCTTCTTTTCTCCAAAATATAAAAATCGTATATGATTGCTTTCATTTCTTCAATTTGGCCTGCAGCCACTTTATCCACAACAGGTGATTTTCGTTGCCGCTTTTTAGACGGGGATGAAAATGAAAAGTTGCTTGAATATATTCCATCTCTGCTCTCTTTAGCTATTTTTTGATAAGTACATTTACTTATACCCGTGGCAGCTAACACACGTTTCCTAAATGGGTTAATCAGTTTTATTTGACAATAATTATAAAAATCTTTTACATTCATACATACCGGTATTGTTGAAGTGGAAACTTTAATCCCTCTACACTTTCCTGTAGCATGAAGTTATTGACATTGTTGATAATTTAATTTCCTTGACTCCCAATCGCCTTTCCTTTCACGCCAATCTCTTTCACAGACATTGTTTAGATCACTGGTTCAAAACTATTAATAATTTAAATTTGAACAATAGTAAAAATTTCCACTATATTGCAATCTATTTGACAATTTTTACACACGGTGCCTTGTTCAAATTAGTTTACAAACTGAATTTATGACTAACGGACAGGTTTATATATCTGTTGCAGGTAAAATAAATGTGATTAATTAACACTCATCGTCTTAACGCTACTTACGAACGAAGGGATTTAGCAACCGGGAATTATTCCAGGTAGTTCAATTTTACACTTGTTATTATTAGATTTGTTTCTACTAATTTTGTTTACCTACGTTGGATATTGGTATTAGCCTATTTATCTAAGTACTAATGATGCACTCTAGGAAATCTCATGATTGGTATAGATATAAGCGGATCACAGTCTTAGGATTAATTTAATTACTTTCAGTTGTTTGCCAACTTTGGGGTTTTACCTTTCAATATTGTGTCTATTATATGTAGGTACCTGCTCACTATTTTATATTTTGATTTATGGATCTCCATCAAATATCCACAAACTCCATAAGATTAATAATTTTCAACACAATCAAATATAAAATATGATATGGTTAATAAATAAAAAAATAAATAAATCGAACAAACGTCTCATCAGATCGCAATTGTGTCAACAATCTCAACTGACTGAAACCTGCTTATCTACATACTAAAAAACGTTCCGCCTATGACTTACTGAGAGTGGGATGTCCCTTAACAGCGTCAACAGCAACATCATTTCTGGACATTGAAGACCACATACATTTTTAAGCTTTCTACGATATAAATATTCGCCACGATTAGAACTGGACCACATTAAGAGGGCGGTAACAGATGTCCATAAATCTTACCAGAGACTGTCACAACAATTTCCTATATTCTTATATGGTACAATCGACGCAAGGGAGAGGGTATAAAGTGATGACGTAGCGGGCATAACCTTAGGCTGTTCGAACTCTAGCCTTTGGTGCACACCAGTTTGAGAAAGTGAAGAAAAAGTTCCCGAAACACACACAAATCATTGCAATTCTAGGTGGTGCTATGAAACATGCCATACAGTCCAAATCTTTGGAAAGTTCGTGTTCCGATAAACACGAATTAACCCTATTTACCTACTTTATATTTTCATTACCGATTTCTAACCATTTTATTATTTATTTTCAGGGAATCCACAACTATAGCATAGTGTAAGCAACACTGTAATTTGCAAACTCTTGTGACGTGTTTTCAAGGGGTATAATAAAAATACGTAACTCTGTTGTGTTTTATTTCCAGCTTAAGCAAACAGCATGTGTGTCTAGTCTCAATTGCGTCCATTGTGTCTTAATCCAGAATTGGTTATTTTAAGGGAATATGAAACATTCCAATAACTATTAATATTTAATAGCAGAAAATAATCCAATGAAACCGAATTTTCAACCAGGCAAGGGGACCGTGGCGACACTTGCTATTTGCACACATCAAATTTGACACGTCGCTTGCCTTCTTGTCGCTACAGTGGTCTTACGTAAAGGAAGCAAGAGGAAAAGCTTCGCTTCTCTTTTCCTCGCTTTCCTTCTCCTCAATGGCCGTGACCTTTCTGGGTTGTGACAAAACAAAATATATAATTTTTAAGCACAACGATTGCCAAGGTTGAATACTCCCAGTCTGTAGGTAATGAATATAGATAAACTTTCTTCCATAAAGGACATCGTTAGTGTGTACAAATCATAATAGCCCTAATAAGAAAAAAATGACTATTTAGCTACTTTTTTGGGAGTCAAAATGACTGTAGCATAACAACATTTATTATGCTCAGTTACTTACAAAATACGCGCAGAACATATACCAATACCACTCAAGAATATAAGAACTGTTTTCGATTACCAACAACGCAAGTAATGTTGAAGAACGGATATTTTTAATTAGGAAGAAAACGAACGTATTCAGGCAACTTCAAATGCCTGGTAGGAAACGGTGTGTACGGGTATGTACACTAATATTTTTCGTCTACAACTTTTGGCTCAAACTGAGCTCCATATCTCTCAATTTTGCTGCCAAAATTGGAATACATTTTCTGTAGGGGTACATAATTTTCTAAGATGATCACTATTTGGTCAAAAAAACGTAACCTCTCTTGAAGCATGTTTTAATAAATTTTTTTATGAACAGAGCACGTGCGTTTTCTGATTTTGAATCATGATAGTTAACAATTTTTTTCTCCGATAAGAAGGATATAAAAGAAAAATATTAAAATACATGGAGCACTCGTCGTTATGTCTTGTTATAGTCCAACTACCTCCATCTATCAGAAATCATAAACATCACCGTCACCACGAAAACGAAAATAAGAAAAAATCGAAAGCGAAAGGTACATACCCCATACACAACCGTTACGGTCACACCCATAACATCATGGCCACCATAGACATTTCTCCCGCTCAGCTGTGTCTGTGCGTGAGGTCAGCCAACCGTAACAACCGGTCCACCAATCGGTTGCTCGTTTGCTGACAGGTAACTAGATTATCTGAAACCGTAGGAATATCAGCTTACCTGCCGCTCATTTACGTTAATCGTCTGGACAGGTAAGTATCGTAGGCAGGGTTTGTGATAATGAGACTCAAGATCCTTTGGTGAGATCCGATGCTGGGACATTACGATGAATATGAGCAGGTGCAGTGCTTGAAGTTGGTTACAGAAGAATATTCCTACATATTATTTGTATATGGAAAGTTACCGCTAACATTTGCAGGGTTTCTAATTACATAGGGAGCTTAAATCAGTGTGAATGGCAACATTGGTTCGGTTCGGCTTGTCTAGCGGTGTGTGTTGTCATTTGTACAGTATGGTTCAGAAAATATTTATAGGGCATAAATTAAATCAAATAACAACAAGAATGTCTAAAATGCCCCTTAACGATATAATTCAGAAAACAAATATATTTTTGGAGTGGATTGAGATATTGGCGTACAATTTTGAACGTAGTACCAATAACATAGCCAAAATATTCGCGTCTAACTGCACCAGTGGGGTAGAAACGGGAAAATGCTGAGCCCCTACAAATGAAAAATTATTTTCAGCGCCACTAACTTTATTGGAACATACACATAAGTATTGGTCAGTCTACCAGATTTGCAGAAAGCTTGGTTTAGCTATTTGAGATGCGTTGTATCTTTGTAATGCGGCATTTCAGGGTATATGCTTAGGTATAGGAGCTTTTTTTGTTACATTTGGTTATACGTTCCACTTTAGAATAGAAGTTGTTCCACGTAGAATGGCAGAAATCGATCAACTAAAAACTTAACATAAGACAGTTATGAGTGATAGGAGCAGTTCTGCTAAAATAATTTCAAAATTGGTGGCACTTCCGATTGCACCGGAAGTCGATATCAACTTGAATATTTTAAATATAAGGAATTCATAATATATGATATATTCCCAAATCTACCAGTTTTTCAAATATCTCAAATTCTACATAAAATATGACAAACGCAGGCCAACGGATTAGAACAATTTCTTTCAGTATTTTATATTATGATTTGCTATGGTTCCTCTAGTAGGTACTTTAGTAGATTTTATTCAACATTTGGATAACAAATAGCACATCATATGTTAGTGAAAAAATGAAAACTATGTTTTTAAAAACCCAGTCACTTTTTTCAAATAGAATCCATACTTTTATAATTTCGTCGTATCAGGAACTGAAAATAAGATAAAACTTGTATGAGGTTCTCAACTTCGCAAATTAGTAGCCTTCGGTAGTACTGGTTTTTCTGCTCCATATGGTTTTATTATAAGACAATTGCAATTGGTCATGGGGCGATGACATCTAGATATTTTTCTTTCTCGGTTTCTGCAATGTTTAATCGAGATTATCTTATGATTAAAAGCCTCAAGGGGCATTTAATCAGTAGAAAAATGAATATACCATTTATCTCGGAAGCTGTTAATTCGGGGGTAGAAAACCCTACACAAAATAAACTTTATTTCAATGCTTGATTGGCTGATCTCTTAAAAAATACGATTTTCATTTTCTTTTTTGATTACTTGTTATTTATATTTCTAAGACGAGACTTAGGTATAGAATTACCTAAATGCAATGTAGTTATAATCTCCCGTAAACTCGAAATATTGAATAAGATACATGGTGTTATACTTAAAATGAACAAGATGGTTTCTGCTTCCGTTACATCAGGACGTTCCATCATTTTTAAAAATACTCCATCCGAAATGCTCCCAGCAGTTATACTATAATCCCAAATTTTATTAGCAGTCTGACGTACACTTTTTGAGTAACCGATTGCTGCAATTCTATGTAGACACCCTGTATAGTCACTGTTTTCTGAATCACCTGGTATATATTCCGTGTGGCACCGGAGTTGTATAATATGAAAAGTGGCATACGGTATACTTACGCAATAAACCAGTTCTAACAATAATCAGCAAGTAGTTCGTCGACGTTTATTGTTATGTATTTTATAAGTACAGAGTGTCCTAAATCAAATTGCCAGTCTCTCAGAAACATAGGACAACACCAAAAATTATGAAACGAGTAACTATAAAAAAGTTTCTGAAGCTACAAACCCCCACAGGATAACATTGGTGATCTGTTTTTCATCAATAACTTTAGAAAGCGACACTGTATAGTTGATGGCTTAGTATAAATTGATAACGTGCAGTGGCGGACGATGTGTTCCCCTGCTCCCTTCCTTTTCGGTACCCGAGTATAGGCGGTGGTGTCCTATACAGGGCGACCACAGGGCGGAGGCCAAAATGTCAGTAAAAATGAGTCTGTTGTTGCTTTTCTATAGTTACTAATATGAATAAAATTGTTCCATTTCCAAATTTCCCTTGTGAATAAATGGAACCACATAATAAATCACTTGCTTATTCCGGTAAAATAATAGCTCGGATATTTTCAGACCTACTATTCCTGTCGATTCTCATTGCAACCAAAAAGTAGAAAGTCTAAAATTTGATCCAGTGGTTTTTGTTGGCTCAACATTACTTGAATATTTCAATCGAGTCCATAAACAAACTGAATACCAAAAATCCACTGGTCAACCTAATCAAGGAGGAAATCCACCGGAACTTACTTCTAAACAAGGAGATAACTCTATTATGGGTTCCCTCACGTAAATCCATATTGGGCAACGAAATGGCGGACAGGGGCGCAAGATCAGCGGCGGACGCCAAAATGCAGACAATACAAAAGATCCCTGTTTCCGATATCAAGACATACCTTCCACAACATGGCAATAGAACAGTTTAACAATAAATGGAGAAGCGGATCAGCGAAGCTTCTTGAGGTGAAATCTCGTCTTGGTTCCTGGTAGATCAACACTACAAATAGAAGGCACCAGGTTCTGCTGACCCGTCTTCGTCTGGGACACACAAGGGCCACACATGGTTACCTCATATCGGGAGATCCCGTACCTCTTTGTACAATTTGTGAAGTGTCCCTCACCGTTAAGCACATTTTAGTGGAGTGTTCCATGCTAGAATACCAAAGAGTGTCCTCCAACTTACGATCTAGCTTAATAGACATTATAGGCTCAGAATGTAACATAAACAATCTACTCTTATTTTTACAAGCCACCAACTATGCTCATAAAATTTAGTGTAACACTGTGTACTGCTCCGCCGCTAATGACCATCAGGCCGATGCGGCAATTGTATTTTTTTATACAATAAAAAAAAAAAAAAAAACATTACTTGAATATTGGTTTCGGTACTATTATAAACAAAACTGTGGTGGGAGATGCTTTTAATGTCAAACAAGAGTAGGTACATTTTTTACTTCCTACTAATTTCGAAAATGAGATATTGCACATGTCTTTTGGACCGCCTATAACTCGGAAAGTACTGATCTTGTTTTGCTGAAATTTTCACGGAAGATTGCTACTATGCCAAGGACGAAAAAGCGTTACAGGTTTTTGAAATCGGTCCAGTGACAGAGCAACCAGGGGCAAAAAACGAGAAAAAAACCGCCAAAACTTCGTTTTTTGACGTTTCAGAGGCTCCAATTCTACGAACCTATCACGTATATTTCGCTCTTCGTATTTCCCCGTGCACTTGCCTTTAAAACTTTTATATTTTAAACTCACGCATACCACACAACACGTTTAACGTTGATATACCTGCTCGAGGTCTGGCAGATATATGAATCGTGTCTTGACCGAAAGAAATCGGTGGCTGGGAGGTGGCGAGTGGCGAGGTTAGTCATAGCAACGTTACCGGATGGTCGGTACTATCGAACGCAACGTGTTAAATGGGT